GGGGACTTCAGATTACCAGGGAACCAACACTAAGGAATGACATTCTGTTCCTCCCCGGATGCAAAGGAAAAAAAAAGAAAGTTCTGAACTCAGAGAGCACAGAAAGACAATAAAACACTGGGCTTCAGTGCAGAAAAGATGGTCCCTGGGATGAGGCTTAGGTGTGCTGCATACTGATCTGGGCATACGTAGTTGTTGAGGAGGGTGGTCACAAGCAGATTATTTACAGTCTCTGTGTCCCCTGGGGGTTCAATATCCCTAGCTCCTCATTAGTAAAACTCTTTTCCTCTCCCATGATCACAGGGCAGCAAAAATCCTTGTGGAGTAAGGTTCAGAAATGACGAATTTTGCTTTGGCTGATTCTCTCACCTTGAGAGATCAAATGTATGACATTTTCTTCCCTACATCTTTTTGGCTAACATCCATTTCAAGTACCTTGTACATCTCAACACATCATCCTTTTGTTATTGGTTTCTAGGCTTCTTTTTTTAGGTATATTTAAAGGCAATCATATCCTAACAACAATATCAGGAAGACTGATAGATACTACATTTAAGCTCATAAATACAGTTTCTTTAGTATAAATGCATGTGATAAGATATGAATGTACTCTAAAAATGCAACACTGAGGGATAATTTTGTGTATAGCTCATTGAATGTTGATGCTTGTGTATATTATATTTAGTAGCTTCTAATATATTCTGCATAGCCAAGTGTAGCAGACATTTATTTTCTTTATAGAATTTCACTACCAACTTTTCTCAGTTTAATATTAGTAGCTTCAAAATCATTTTTTTCACATTGTGGGCCATGGCTTGAAATTATGGTTCTTGGTTATCAATATTGTTTCAGTAAATTACAAATGATCAGAGTAGCATTCAATCTGTGACACAACCTACCTTTGAGGATGTAACCATAATATTTGGGGCTTGTTTGTTATAAGAACAAATTTTATTTTATCTGACTGTTATGATGCAACTATTAAGACAAGGACAGATACACTAGACTTATTTATCAGAAAGAAGAGCCCAGAGAAAAAGCAAGACATAAATGGACAGCTTATTTATTGCAGAAGTGGGATTACAATGATTGGATAGACTAATAAAAAGGTGCATGGACATGAAATGAATTTAAATTCCTATCTCTTATCATAGTCAAAATTAAACTTCATGTGGGTTTATGCCTCAAATGTACTAGGTAAAAGTATAAATCCTTTATTTCAAGGAGATTATGGGTTACAGAAACAAGATCTATTGAGAACAAACCCCTAAAATATTCACAAATTCAATTCTATTAAAACTAAGCATCTATGTTCACTCAAAACAGATTACAAATGATAAGCAAAACAAATCACACACCTATTAAATAAATTTCAATGCATATAACTGACAAAGCATTATGATCCCAATTAGGTAAAGAACTGTTATGAAGTGGCAGCTCAATAGAAATACCATAAACAGATATTTCACAAAAGAGGAAAAATAAATGCTGATAATATGTGGGAAGACTCTCAATCTCATAATAAGAGAAATGTAATTTTTTTCTTTCTTCATTTTTTCATTGAAGTATTATTGACATACAACATTACATCAGTTTCAGGTGTATAACTTTGTGATTCAATATTTTTAAACATTATAAAATGATCATCACAATAAATCTAGTTGCCTTCTGTCCCCCTATAAAGTTTTTACAATATTATTGACTATATTCCCTGTGCTTTACATTACATCCCATGGCATATTTGTTTTATAACTGGAAGTTTGTACCTCTTAATCTCCTTTACCTATTTTGCCCGACCCCCACCCCCTCTCCTCCGGTGACAGCCAGTTTCTTCTCAGTATCTATGAGTCTGTTTCTGTTTTGTGTGTTCATTTGTTTTGTTTTTTAGATTCCACATATAAGTGGAATTATACAGTATTTGTCTTTATCTGACAGAGCAATGCAAATTATTTAAATGATATTTTATACCCATTCAGTTGTCAGAGTAAATGAAAATGTGTTGGAGATGACGTGGATCTGAGAAAACTTCTTATGGGAATAAGAAAACTTTGGAAAACACTTTGGAAAACTCTTTGGAACTACTCAAAGGAGTTTTGGCACTCCCTTATACCAGTAACTCAATTCTTAATATAAAATTTTCCCTCATTTCTACCAAGAGACATGTATGATATTATTCAAACAACTGTATTCATAGTAGCACAAAACTAGCTATCAAAAGTTCCATCCACATCAGAAAGAATAACTATTTTGTGATATCACCATACACCATATAAAATCACACGGCATAGAAAGTGAATGAATTAGTGCTACACCCAATAGCAGATTTAAATTCCAAAAACACAATGACGCAAAAAAAAAACCCAGACATAGAATTCATATATTAAGATTAAACTTTTAGCAAATTCAAAAACAAGCAAATTTAAGAAATACATACAACTAATAAATTGTATAGGGACACATACAGTGGTGAAAAAAGGATGCAAATAAATCCTATTAAAATGCCAGTGTGTAGAGCAAACATGATCAAATACTGGCAATTTCATAGTACTCAACATAAGAACATCAAAATGATTGATAAATATAAAGATTTATTTATTTATTTATTTTTCCCCCCAAAGCCCCAGTAGATAGTTGTATGTCATAGCTGCACATCCTTCTAGTTGCTGCACGTGGGACGCGGCCTCAGCATGGAGAAGAGGTGTGTCGGTGTTCGCCCGGGATCCGAACCCGGGCCACCAGCAGCAGAGCACACGTACTTAACCGCTAAGCCATGGGGCCGGCCCTGATTGATAAATATAGAACTCAGGTTACCAGTTACCACTGGGATGAGAGCTGTGATGTGAGTGGGACACTCTTCCAGCATAATTATACTTTATTCTTACTTGGTAATAGATATATGTGTTTTCATCATATTATTACTCTTTAAGAACTGCACATACAATTTATACACCACTTCTTCCATGATATTTTAACAAGTAAAATTGAGGTAAGGACTTTCATATTCCAAAATACAAATACATTCTCCCATGTTCTTTAAATATAAAAGCCTTGTTGTTTTAGACTTCAGCGTGCATCAAAAACTCATAATGTGCTTATTTATACAACCCTTCCTCAGAGTGTCTCCCGAAGATTCAAAGTCAGTAGTTCCCAGGTGAGATTCAGAAATTTGCAGTATGAACAAGGGCCTCCGGTGATCCATGTCTGCAAGTGTTCTGTGGACATCAATGGAGGATGCTCTACATAGAAGACACCATGGGAAGCAGGCAGGGAGCTGTCCTCCAGTTGTGGTGCTGACACAATACATTCCCTCCACGCTGATGAAGGACACTTCCTTGATTCTCCTGTGAGACCTCCATCGTTCCCCTCAACACACACGTCCAAATAGATTCTTTTGCCTGATGACCCCACATTTATGTACTTGTGGAGAAAGTGATGGCCCTTAACCCTATCGGCTTCTCTTTTCTCCTATTTTATTTTACGCTATACCTCTCCTCTCCAGAAACACTGTTTCCTTTATAAAGGCACATTATAAAGCGTTGCATAAGAACCCTAATTATGCAGACAACTCTTTAAGACTTCAGCCAATCAATAAATTTTACTCAACCCTGTTTCTCTGTGTGGACCCCACCTAAGATGAGTAAGAAATAATAGCAAGAAGAGGTAACTAAAGAGATAAGTAAAAACTCAGAATCATTCTTGTCAATAAATTAATGAGAAGGAATCAAAGCAATGAGGTGTCAGAAAAGATTAAGAGCCACTACTCCGTTTACCTAATAATTGTGATTTGATTCTATTACTCAGATCAGAAGAAGCTGCTGATAGATATTACAATAAAGGTAAACAAATATAAATGCTAAGCAGGTGGTAAAAATACGTGAGTGCAAAAGGATTATAAGACTTATGAGTATATGCAAGATGTGGAACATTATGATACCAGTTAAATGTTATTGAGTACTAATATATGTCAGACATTGTATTAAGTGTTTGTAGTGCTTATGAGAGTTGACTGCCCAATGGGAATTAACTCTAAAAGGTCAGTCTAAGGCTTTTATAGTAATCATTTTACCCACATAAGTAATTAGATTAAGAAGGGGCATACGATCCTATTCTCAGTGATGAGAGTGAGGAGATATATTCTGGATGACACCATGAAAAGGTCAATTACCAGCCTACAAAGAGAAGAACAGTCAATTCTTGGTCTCTGGGAATGATGACCAAGTATGATACCTGCATCTGCTGCAGCCACCTGTCCCAGGGCGAATAAATCCCCATTCCCTTATCCACATACATTATCTACCTCTGCAGTCCCTATAGTGAAAGACAACTCTCTTTCCTGTTTGAGACTATAAGAGGCAGAATTTTATTTTCTTATATAATCTATAACTTCTTCAAATTCAAGTTCACGTATCTCAAGATCATCTCAAACCACTCGGATAATCTAACTATGCCAATGTTATAGATGATGAAACTAAGTATGGTGGATTCCAATATTGCTCCAGAGAGATACACTTTACTGAAGACAGCTCTCAGCAATTACCATGTTGGAGTGAGAAAGGTCAGCTTCTTTTCCTCACAGGCGGCCTAAGGCTGGGGTAAAAGTCACATGGTCCTAACCAATGGACAAAGTGGGAGCTAGTCTCTACCTATAACCATAGACTTGCTTAACTTCTTTTCCTGCCACATCCACCTTCTACAGCTTTGTTCTGAGAATCCCATGCCCCAAAATCACTCAAACAAAATCCCAGGGGTCAGGTTCTCCTTCTATGGAACATGACCCCAAAAAGATGAGGTGAGACAGTTGAAATCATTTGTCAAACATCCCAAATTTAGACAAACAGCAAAATCAGATTTCAAGCCCAAGTTGAAATGCACTTAGACATCAGGTTATCTAGTCATTTTAGAAGACCTTGATGATGGAAGAGTTAGGTATTCTGAAACAACAGAACACTTTTCACTTTGCTTCATTCTAGAAACCTGATCCAAATTTGATGACAAATTCATTAAAGAAAAGTTATTCTACTGATTATTTTTCTCAAGGCTCCCTTCATGTCCCTGTTCCTCAGGCTATAGATAAAAGGGTTCACCATTTGAGGAACAACAGTGTACATCACCGAAGCTACTGCAGTCTTCCTGGAAGAGTCAGTAACTGCAGAACTAATGTACACACCAACAGCTGTCCCGTAGAACAAGGAAACAACAGAGAGGTGAGACCCACAAGTGGAAAAAGCTTTATATTTTCTGCCAACTGTTGGCATTCGCAAAAGAGAAGAGACAATTTGAATATAAGAAAAAATAATTCCAGAGAGAGAAATACCACTCAATACACTAGCCATAAAATTAGCCAGGAAGGTATTGATGAAGGAATCAGAACAAGCGAGCTTGATGACCTGAGCAAGTTCACAGAAGAAGTGCGGGATTTCCAAGTCAGTGCAGAAGGACAGCTGCAAAGCCATCAGACTGTGGAGCAGGGCATCCACAATGCTAATGCTCAAAGAGAGTAGAATCAACAGTCCACAGAGACGGAGGTTCATGATGTTTGTGTACATCAGGGGGTGACAAATGGCCACATAGCGGTCATAGGCCATTGCTGCAAGCAGGCCATTTTCAAAACAAGCAAAAACCAGGACAAAGCAGACCTGGCTGAGGCAGACTGTGTAAGTGATGTGCTGATCCTGTGCTTGGATATTCATCAGCATCTTTGGGATTGTGGTTGTGCTCAAACAGATGTCAGTAAAGGACAGATTGTAGAGAAAGAAGTACATTGGAGTGTGGAGGTGGGAATCAGAGAGGACAGTCAGGATGATGAGAAGGTTTCCCAGGATGGTGACAAGGTACATGGACAGGAACAGGCAGAAGAGGAGAGGCTGCAATTCTGGATCATCTGTCAATCCCAGGAGAAGGAATTCTGAAACATCTGTTTGGTTTCTGTTGTTTATGAATCTGATGGAAAACGCGGATGACAAGAAAATAAAATGAGTGGTCCCAGGACCAGCAGCAGCAGTATCTGTGAACTTGTTAGAAATGCCTATTCTGGCTCCCTAGTCCAGACTTCCTGATGATAAAAGCCCCAGGAGTAATTACCACCGATCTTTTTCAACAAACTCTCCAGATGATTCTGACTTACACTAAAGTGTGAAAACTGCTGCACTAGAAAAATGTTCATCTATGTTGTGAACCCAAGTGAATATTCAAATCTTTCCCTCTGCTTATTTCTCCCTCCATCCTTCTTCTCTCCCTCCTCCTCTTCCCTCTGCTCATTTCATCAGCTCATATTTTATTGAGCAATGCCTTTCTAACACATTGGGCAAACCCTGAGAAATAAAGGAGACATGGCTTTAGTCCTTCAGAATTATTCCACGTCTATAAACAATCAGAAATATAAGAATAAAATTACTATATCTGTCTCATCTTTAGGGATGTTCTTCCTCTATTGTGAAAAGTGACATATGATCGAAAATAAAATATCAAACAAACAAAAATCCCAGCTGAATGGGAGAAAGGATGAAATGCATTGGATAGTTAAAAGACAGGTAAACGTAACAATTTATTTGTCTTCAGAAGACAGAGACTTGTAAGATAACACCAAAACGATGTGTCCTAACAGATGTGTCCCTATGCAGTCGTGGTCTTCCCTCCCTCAACGGACTAACAAATGGCCATCAAAGGATCAATTATTTGGTGTAATACTAGACTCAGACACTCTGAATTTAGTCCAGGCTACAGCACTTGCTTTATGAATGGGGAAACTCTTTAACTGTATGGGACGCCCAGTGTTCTTGTTTGCATATTGGGAACTATCATAAACCTTGGTGCATTGTTGCAATGATGAGAAAAGAATAGGCTTAAAGCAGCCAGCACAATGTTCAGCATATGGGAACCTCATTGTGACATTTCCCAGTGTGATTTTTTTTTCTGCCATGAACAACAGTTTCTGGCACATTTCACTCCTAGGAGTGAAGTGGTTCAGTGGGGTAAGTTGATCAAAGAGGAAAGAATATCCTTAGCATGACAATTGCAAATTTCAAGGATCTTAGAAAGATCAATGGTATCAATATTCATTTGGCATGGATGTAAAGCAATTAAAATGAATTGAATAATAAAATAAATTAGATATGTGAATCAATACAAGCAATGAAAACCTATAGGAGAAAATATTGTTTGATATAAAGTCTACAGCATGAGAAATTTTAAATTACTTTTTAACCTACATAGGTATATTTATTTTTGTTATAGATTATTCTAGCATAAAAAATGTATAGAGAACAATAATGAAGGACTGGGTACCTCCCAGTCAATATTATCAAATTCACACCCTTCACCATCCTTTCTTTAAGTATTTTCATTGAGATAAATAATACATATTACTGAAGACTCCATCAGATATTTGTACAATTTTGATTCTTTTAGTTCCCTGAGGAAACCACTACACTGACTTCACATACATTATCTACTTGAATTTTTTTTTTTTTGTGAGGAAGATTAGCCCTGAGCTAACATCCGATGCCAATCCTCCTCTTTTTGCTGAGGAAGATTGGCCCTGGGCTAACATCTGTGCCCATTTTCCTCTATTTTATATGGGACACCGCCACACCATGGCTTGACAAATGGTTCCTCAATGTGCGCCCAGGATCTGAACCTGTGAATCCCGGGGCGCCGAAGTGGAGCGCGCGCACCTAACTGCTACACTACTGGGCCGGCCCCTGCAATTTTCTTATATTTGCTGTTATGCTTTCATAAACAAATGATTGCTTTTCATTTCAAAATTGGCATATATAAGCACAATCATACTGTGCAAGGCATTTTACAAATGGATTTAGTACTTCATATATTTTTATTAATGTTGATCATTCAGATCTGCTTCATTCATTTTAACTACCATAATCTGTTTCACTATATTGTTACATCACGGTTTATTTCTCCATTTACTAGCTGATAGATATTTATCAATACAAATACAATATGAAACCATGCCTGGAGGATACCATCACGTTGGTGTTGCCTCTGTGAAGAGAATGCGGGAAATGAAGGTGAATACAAAAAAGGAGCTTTCTGTATGTATACTATTTTGGAACTTTATACAAAAAGTGTATAGTAGAATGCCAATATGTGTTAATTTTGGAAATGGGTTGATGATGGCATTTTAAAATTATTATTACTATATCTATACTCTTCTTATAATTTAAAATATTCATTTTTTAAATAAATAGATATACTTGGATAAAGGAAGCAGTCTGCTCTGTCTGTCTGGGTCTACAACTCCTTCTCCAGAGGCCTTACAGCCAGGCAAGAAAGATGACACTAAATCTCTTCTGTATAAAGATGTATGGGAAGATGATGGTAAGATGTGTGGGAAGATAGGGTGAAGCTGACTAACATCTTTCCTCTCCACCATCACAAGGATGCAAGTAAGTGTCAGAGAATTTTATAGCGGTCATCATACTTGAGAAGGAGAGGATTTAAGCTCAAAAGTAAAAGGTTCCTCCCGTTATACAGACAGAATAGAAGACTAAAAATAGCTGTGTGAATATTGTTGCAAAGGTACAAAAGGGCATGACAAGTGATGACATTCAGGTAAGAATCCCATGGGGGACTCAGTGAGCATCTTAGCAATGGATTCTCTTCACAGCTGTGCAGGGATGATACTGTAGTAAACACCTGCGCTCATGTCCAAAGCATCGTCTAAGGGACTTTAGATTACCTGGCTGACATCATTGTGGGACGATACTTGGAATTTTCGCTGGATATTCAATGATGGAGACAGAAGGTCTGTGTCTGAGAAGGGCAGAGGGACTGAGGGGAGCCCCAGGCTTCTAGGCAAGAGGGATCATCTCTGGGAGGTGGCTCAGCTGTTGCTTCCTGACTAGGCAGGGCTGTTGAGTGAGGTGGAGACTCACAGACTCTTTGCAGTCTCTGTATCCCTGGTGGTTCAACATCCAAATCTCCTCATTAGACAAACACTTTTATTGTTATTTGGATCCCAGGGCAGTGTAAATCCTTACAGACCAAGACTATAGAGGGAGGAATTCAGATGGCTGATTCCCTGAATGTGCAAGGCCAGGTGTACGCCATCCAGCTCTCTCCAACTGTTTCTGCTCACCTCCATGTCACATATCTTACACACATGGACACACCATTCTTCTCTAATTGGATACGAATCTTCATTTTTTAGATACAAGCAATGGCATGTCTATGTAATTAATGATATCAGGAAATTGGATTCTAACTTTCAGTGTGAAAACATAGTTTATATATTTGGATATAAAAATATATTTATAAATACAGCTAAGCTATTGTAAAATGCAAACACTCAAAGATGTTTCTTTCTAAGTGTCAATGAATGTTTTCTGAACCTTAATCTTCATTCTGTATATTTTATATAGCAGATTCTAATCTATAATCTATAATTAATTCTGTGATCAATATAGACAGACTTTAGAATTTTATAAATATGTTTTCTGATGTCATCAAGGTAGTTTCAGTGTACATTTTAATTTCACATTAGCTGATCATAGGTTGAAATTATGACACTTAACTTTTAATAGAGTTATGAGAAATTACAACATCACTGCTAAAGCAATAGTATACTGGTTCATCCAACTCTCAGTAGAATAAGTGAGATTTCAACTATAATTTAACAGGTGAAGATGGTGCTCCTAGTCATAAACTTTTCATCATTAATGAATTTAATATGTTAATGTGTTTATCAATTTAATTTACACATGTTAATACTTTATAAATGAACTTTGTTTTTTAATCTATAGAGTTCTTCTTCATATAGTATTTGAAACCAACATGAGACAAGATGGTATTCGAATGTCTCCCATTCACTTCAACACATAACAGAGAAATATAAAAATCCATAGCTGGCCTCGTAAAACAAGTGAAAGATTTCCATGTACCACCAAAAACATAAAGGGTGAGTGGACTAAAGCCAATGGGCTCTATGAATTTGCTTAGAAAATACAAGGAAAGGAGTATCCTCTATCTCATTCTGTAAGGCTAGCACGAGGTGGAAGCCTAAAGCATATAAGTTTAGCAGAAGAAAGGAAAATCACAAGGCACCCTCGCTCCTGCAACATAACTGACAAAATTTCGCAAAGTTAAATCTAACCAAGAAGGAAAATGGGTAATGGATTCTGCCAAATTCAGTTTTACTCCAGGAATGAAAGGTTGATTTTTGTTCCACATAACCACGTTGTTCACTCCCATACTTATATCAAGCCTTTATTAGAATGTCAATTTCTCAGTGAATCTTCTTGCCCTGCTGTGTAAAATTGCAAACCTTTACATATTCTTGCCCTCTTGGAGAGGTATATTCACAATCTATCAGTCAATATTTTTCTTATGGCATCAGATTGGGCCACTGGGAGGTAGACATGGAGGCAGAGATTAGCATGCTGGGCTTAATGAGGGGCTCTCCCTGGATTAACCCCTGTGGAAGAGAAGAATGTAGGACTGGGCAGAGAGAAACTGAAATACAATGGAATCCCATTGTCAGACTCCACTGATCCTGCAGGGGGTTCTATAAGCTGGAACGTTTTTCAGAGTTGTTCCAAGTTGGAGCAAGAAGTCCAGGTCTTTAAATACCTGCTCTGATCAGTCATTAGATGTAACTCTGGGAAGGGGGAGTGACCTTAGGTGCAGTGACTCTCATCTAAGAGGTCACCCCAAAAGGGGCTCCCAGTGAGGGGCTATCTGCCAGCAGCACTCCTAGAAGCTGGGGGTAACAATTGCCTCCTTTCTGAAAAAGATTAGAGATGACGAATCACAGTGTCTCCCAAGCCTATCTCTCTTGTATATCACCTGCTTTTCTCATGGATGAGCACTTTCAGAGCACTGGGATTTCTCTGTTTGTGCACACTTTCATCAATAGCACTTATGACAGGGCCTGGCAACAGTGTTCTCGCAATTAATATTTGTTGAATAAATAAATGAATGTGTTAGAACTCCTGAATATGATTTGACACTTTTACAGAGTAAAGAGCAAAACATGATTGCTTTCAATAGATGAAGAAAAAGCGTTTGCATAAAATGCTACATCCTTTCATGATGATAAAAATCGTGATATAAGAATAGAAGAGGCTACCTTCACTCCAAAAAGGATATTTCAGAAATAATCTACAGTAAATGAAATACTCAATGGTCAAATACTCATAACATTCTCTTTAAAATCAAGAACAATATATAACAGTTGCTAACACTGCTTTCATTCAAACAACATAGTGCAGGTTTGAGCTGCACTGAGAACAAATAAACATTAACAGATAATATTAGCATCTAGGTAGAAAATGCCAATGAATCTATAGATCATGTTTTAAAAGAAAAACAGAATGTAGCAAGGTTGCTGGAATCAAAACACTACACAAATATCAATTACATGTCTCTACAAACACAAGTTCATCTAGAAAGTGTAATTTCTAAAAGATACTTTTAACAAAACATCAGATAAATACCTGGCAAGAGTTCTAAGAAAGAATGTGAAAGCACATTGTGGAAAAATCTATAACATTTTACTGAACTCTAAAAGACCAAAAAATGGGAAGAATATTCTAATTTTGGACAGATCTACACAATATCATAGAGATGTCAATTTTCCCCAAATAGTTTTATCGATTTAAGGCAAATCTGGGATTTTATTGTATTTGAGAAGCTGATTTTAAAATTCGTATGAGAGGAATGGAGAAAAATTATTTGACTTGATGGCAAATAAGAACAAAGTGAAGTACTTGCTTTATCAAATATCAGGACATTATGGAGCTATATTAACTAAAACAGTATGGTTCTAAAACACATAGAAAAATAGTACTAATTAAAGCCACACCTATATGAAAATTTTACTGAGGACTGAGGAGGCATTGGACACTTGCTTTATGACAATGTGCCATGTGATTTAGCAATCCTACTTCTGTGTATACATCCAAAGGAATTGAAATCAGGATCTTGTAGAGATACCTGCATTACCATGTTCGTTGCAGCATTATTCACAATAACCAAGTTATGGAAACAAACTAAGCATCTGTCAACACATGAATGGATAAAGAAGATGTGGTATATACACAATGGAATATTATTCAGCCACGGAAAAGAAGGAAATCCTGCCTTTTGTGGCAACTTGGATGAAACTTGAAATTATGTTAAGTGAAGTAAATCAGACAGAGAAAGACAAATACTGTATGATATCATTTATATATGGAATCTAAAAGAGACAAACTCATAGAAGCAGAGAGTAGAGTGGTAGTTACTAGGGGTATGATGTGGAGGAAATGGGGAGATGCTGGTCAAAGGGTACAAACTTCCAATTAATAAGATTAAATTCAGAGGATCTAATGTATTGCATGATGTTTATAACTAATAAGGCTGTATTATACACTTGAATATTGCTAAGAGAGTAGATCTTAAATGGTCTCACCACTAAAAAGAAAAAGTAAGTACTTAATAGGATGGAGGTTTTAGCTAATGCTATGGTGTTAATGATTTTGCAATATATAAATGTATCAAAACAACATTTGTACATCTTAATCTTACACAATTTTATATGTCAATTATATTTCAATAAAGCTGGGAAAAATGATCAAATACTGGAAATCAAATACCGGCTGCATTAATCCAATTACTGTTGTCGTGGTTACATTGCCACCTCCTTTTTTCTGTGTCATTTCCACTTCTGTATATTTTATAAGCATGCATGTGATTATATCTAGGGCCTACCCAGATAACCTGACACAAGCTCATCCTCTACAAAGACCATAATCCCAACTAAGTAACATTGACTCTTTTATCATATAATATTAATAAGTTAGGGGAAATAGGATATGGACAAATCGTTTCAAGGGCCACAATTCACCCACTGCAGAGATATCTTCTGGTTGACACCATGGAAAATTTATAATCATCTGACTCAAAGGACAGTCAGAGTTCTGTCACTGAGAATCATGTCCTGGTATGACATCTCCATCTGGCACCACCACTTTGTGACTCTTATGAGACCCAGTCTAGGACAAGACAACACATGGAAGATTGCATCAATGTCTATTCACCTGTTTCTATACATTCCTTATCTCTCAAGTCTTGTAATGAAAGATAACTCTATTTACTGTTTGGGCATATTAGAATTAGAGATTATTTTTCTTATTAGAACTAAAGCTTCCTCACCAATGAAGTTCAAATATCTCAAACCACTGAGATAATCTAATTATGCAAATGTCACAGATAATGAAACTGAGTATGGTAGATGGTAATGTTCTTCAGAAGGATATGATTTACCAGTGAACAATCTAATTAATTACTAAATAGCTATGTAAAGGGTTAGTTCCTGTACTCTACTATAGGCCTAATTCCAGGGTGCAATTGACATGGCGCCACCATGGGATCAGGTGGAAGCTAGTCTCTAGATATGAGTGCAGCCTTGCTTCAATACTTTCCCTGTCCAATCCACCTTCTATAACTTTCGTTCTTTTGAACATGATCAAAAAAATCATTAAAACTAGAAACCTTGACTCAGGCTCTGCCTGTATACAACCTGAGCAAACAAACTGAATTTAGAGAATTGAAATCATGTGTCAAACACTATAGATTTAGACAAAAAGTCTAAAGTCAGATTTCAACCCCAAGTTAAAATTAACTTGGCTATAATGTTGTTCAGCCATTTTAGAAGAATTTGGGATGAAATAAACCCAGATTATGGCTCATCCAGGATTCCTATCATGTTGCTT